CAATTGTGAATTATTCCTTGTCATGCTTTTATCCCTTACTGCTTTGCAATTCTGCATGCCAACATCTGTACCTCCAACATGCCAGGATGTAATCTCTTGGCATCCAGTTGAGCTTCAACCCTTTTGAAGTGGCATCCTCTTCTGAAGCTGATGCCATATTCTTTACTAGCCTATGATTCTCTTAACCCTCCTGTCATCTCCTTTTATTCATTCAGATACTTCGCACATGAATTAGGATCCTTTTCTACCAAATTGACTCTTGAGAGATTTTACCTTCCCTGGTCATTATAGGGACATCAGATTTCTTGCTGCCTCTATTTTATTCTAGTCAGTTGACTTCATCCATTTTCTTTTTTGCCTTACTCCTCCTAGACTTTACAGCTGATCTCAGAATAGTTGATATCAACGTCCTTGGTTCCTTTAGATTTTCATACTCTGCTGACCTTGCTCCAGAAAACTGAATCCTAGATGAATGCCACAATCCACTTTCTCTATACTTGGACAACTGAAGGTTGCTAGAGGAAATGGCATATCCCTACATTATGGTGTTAATACAAGCTCAGGATTATTCGTTAACCTTTTATTTACCTTTGCTAAGATTCTATTCTTTATCTTCAAAGACAAGGTCAAATCCTCACCACTCTCCTCCAGTTCCCCACCCAATACCCACCCTTCACTATCACGTGGTCTCATGTCCTATTACTGTGATGATTGAGATCATCGGGCCTGACCCGTATCATTCTCCTGTTTCACTTTGCCTTATCCAAACCCTCACCCTTCCTTCCTCCCTGCAATCTTGGAGGACAAGACATCTCTTCTTCACCTGGAATCCTTTCCCCTTTCCCTCCAATTGGTGAACTCTTTCCTCATCTTTTAAGGCATCTCAAGTGGTCATTCTTTCAAGAAGGGTTATCTAAAGCCAGTCCCATAATTGGGTTAGGTGACTCCTTGGAGCTTTACACACACACACACACACACACACACACACACACACACACACACTCACTCTCTCTCTCCCTCCCTCTCTCTCTCTCTCTCTCTCTCTCTCTCACACACACACACACACACACACACACACACACACACACACACATATTTGAGGCTTTCCTGGCATACACACAGACATTCGTTTTTTTTTTCTAGTATTTTGGATGCAATAAAAATATCTCTTACTTCACATTCTTAAAGCTGCTAAAAATGAAATAGATTGACTATGGAAAAATAACCTGCCCTTTCTGAGCCTCAGTTTATAAAGTGAGAAGATTGGACTAGATAAGCTTGTAGATCCCTTGCTACTGAGATAATGAATTTTACTGATGACAAATGTCATAAAACAGACTATTTTCATGGAAGACATAAGAAAGATAATTATTTCCAGTATTTGAAAAGTATTTTCAAAATATCACATAATTCCTTTATCTGACATTTTGAAGTCAACTTTTAAATGCTTTGAAATAAAATTAACGCAGGGCATGGTGGCTCATGCTTGTAATCCCAGCACTTTGGCAGGCCAAGGTGGGCAGATCATGAGGTCAAGAGATAGAGACCATCCTGGCCAACATGGTGAAACCTCATCTCTACCAAAAATACAAAAATTAGCTGGGTGTGGTGGTGCATGCCTGTAGTCCCAGCTGCTAAATGAGCTAAGGCAGAAGAATTGCTTGAACCCAGGAAGGGGAGGTTATAGTGAGCCAAGATTGTGCCACTGTACTCCAGCCTGGTACAGAGCAAGACTATCTCAAAAGAAAGAAATAAAATTAAATAACCAAATAAAATCTTATATTTACGTTAAATATAAGATTTAAAAAACCTTTAAATTTTATAATATAGATTTACATGAAATATTTACAAAAATAATATAGAGTTCCTATATACCCTCCATTTATTGTTCTTACTAATATCTTACATTATCACATGAATTTTGTCACAAATACAGAACCAACATTGATATTTAACTACCACCTAAACTCTTGGCCTTATTCAGATTTCATTATTTTTCATTACTAATGTCACAGTAACTCATAACAACTATACAATATAACTGATACAACTCATAACAACTATTTCAAATATGTTTTATAACCAGCCCAGTCCTTGGTTTGTAAATATAAATGAACAACAAAAGATCATCAGAGTATTTGAGATCTGTCATGTTGTAAAACCCTGGAAGTTAAGGATGGGACTGAGCAACCAACCAAGTAAAATTTTGGTAGGAAGATCACAGAGGTAAAGTGCCATTTTAATAACATCATACCAAAGGTGTGTGCTATCAACACAACTTATCCCTGGTGACATTAACCTTGACCTCAATGTGCAAAGCATTTTCATATTCATTACCTCATGTGATCCTTTTAATGATCATGAAATGGACAAGATTGGCATTCTTAGCTCCATTGTAGAAAGGGGGATCTTGAGGCTGAGATGGAACTGAGATGCTAGGACTACCACTCCACTGGTTCCTTCACAGTACCTGACAACCTCTTCTAAATTGTTTGTAAAAGAAGCAACGTCTTGCAATGCTTTCCCATGTCAACTCACTCTAGACCTGCTGTGGCTAGGAATGTTCATGATTCAGTGATTCATGATATCTTCATACTATAACTATAACCCTAGGCTTGTTTGAATAAATTCAGATCATCACAGAAGATGATAAAATGTTTTTACTCATCTCCCTTTCTTGTGATAGAGTAAGGCACTGAGCTCATACAAATGACATTTACCAGCTTTATTATTAACCCCATCATTTACAAACAGCTGGCCTTAGAATACTCGGCTGTGGTCCCAGCTGGGGAATTACACCTTTCTGTTCTGAGTGTTGTTTACTCAATCCTCACTTATAGCTTCATTTATTTATTCAACAAATATTTATTGAGTACCTGCTCTATTTCAGACATTTTTCTGAGTACTTTTGAAGTATCAGTTAATTTAATCCTAATAATAGGCATGAAGATCTATCATTATTTTTTTAATAGATGAGAACCCAAACTCAAAGAAATTAAGTAACTTTCCAATCGTCACATAATAGGTGGAGTCAACTCTTGAGGAAGGTGACCTCATCAAGATCCTTCACCTGCACTTTAGATTTCTATCCCTTGTTAGCTGTTGAAGTGTCTGAAGATTGATTACTACCATTGACTTTTATTAGTTTCTAAAGAAGACTAATTATAATAGTTATTGCTAACTTAATAAAGTTCTATTTTCCTTCATGTTATATTGTAATGTGAAATAATTACAATTCCATTTCTTGTTTAATACACACATTTCAGAAGAGTAAAGCATTCGGTGAGTTTTCTCTTTCAAGTCTGTGAACTGGGAATTAAGATTTTGCCTTTGAAATGGCAGAAAAGATTTTGAAAACCCCAAAAGATACAATAAAAGCAGTATTAGAAAGCATGAGGGGGTGAACCAGGAATTTGGAGGAAAGCCAGGACGATCGAATGCAGACAGGACTGGGTCAAAGGAAAAGCCAGAGCAGAGGAAAACAGCCTGAGATAGGCAAAGTGGGTACAGTTCCTTCTGTGAATACCACCTAAGAAGCTGAAGTGACAACCAGCAAGTACAAAGAACAGTAATGCTGGAGGTGTTTGTTTAACACCTCTATTGAGAAAAGTTGAAATGTCTGAAAATCACTTCTGCTTCTTTGCACAGAGGCTGTCACCAGTGATATTTGCCCTCAAGCTAAAACCTGAGAGGTGTTCTTTAAAGAAAAGTTGTTGGGTGGGCTGTGAGGCTTCTAGTAAGGGTGTGGGTAGAATTAGAGCATTGTTATGGGTAGATATGGGTCTTCACAGCAGCCAGAACTGGCAGATGGGGTAGAAGAGAGAAGTCAAGACAGCTCTACCAAGAACTGAATGAGATGCACTAAGAACCAGTTCTCAGAGGAACCTTCCTTGCCTTGATACTCCTGCCTGCTCCTCCTCGTTGCACCCCTTAGGGAAGCTGAGCTGACAAGTGTTTCTTGTCCAAGTATCCAGAACCACAGCCAGCTCTTCCACTTAATAGATAAACAGCAACTCATAACACCTATTTTAAATATGTCTTGTAACCCGCCCAGTCCTTGGTTTATAAATGTAAATGAACAACAAAGGTCACCAGAGTATTTGAGATCTGTCATGTTATAAAACCCTGGAAGTAAAGGATGGGACTGAGCAACGAACCAAGTAAAAGCAGAAATAACTCAGGAAGACAAAAAGACATTGCAACCACCAGACAAGAATAAACTGCTGTAAAAAAAAATTCTCCATTAATAAATAAGGCTTATTACAAAATAAATTGACAAACAAAAAATCACTTATAGAGATCAACAATAAAGTGAAATAATCTGAAGACTAACTTAGACATATGGAAGTCAAAGGTAAGAAACTACAAGAACACAGATGAAAAAGACAAAGATGAAAAGACAAAGAGAAACAATAAATGAGAAAAAATTATCAGAGATATAATAAAAGAAGATTTGACTCTCCACCTAACAACACAAGACTACTGTGTTGGGTGAAAGAAATGAACGATATCTAGATGCAGTCAAATGATAAACATTATATGGTAAAAAGAATTCTACAAATTTCTGGAGATTAAAAAACATACTTATCTACACAAAGAAGACAATGAGACATAAAACAGACTTCTTGTCGGTAACATTGCATTCTAGAAAATAATGGAGAAACGTCTTCAAACTTCAGGGGAGAAACACATTACATCTGAAAATATATTGAGCAATAATTATATATATGTGCATATCTATACCTATATCTATCTCTCTCTCTCTCTCTCTCTCTCTCGCTCTCTCTCTCTCTCTCTCTCTCTCTATATATATATATATATATATATATATTTTTTTTTTTTTTTTTGAGACAGAATCTTACTCTGTTGTCGGGCTGAAGGGCAGCGGCACAATCGTGGCTCACTGCAACCTCCGCTTCCTGGGTTCAAGCAATTCTCCTGTCTCAGTCTCCCCAGTAGCTGAGACTACAGGCATGCACCACCATGTTCAGCTAATTTTTGTATTTTTTGTAGAGACGGGGTTTCACCATGTTGGCCAGGATGGTCTTGATCTCTCGACCTCATGATCTGCCTGCCTCGGCTTCCCAAAGTGCTGGGATTACAGGCCTGAGCCACTGCACCTGGTCAATAATTACATATTTTAAATATTGTTTGTTGATTTTCAATTTTTAGAGTAAACTAATTGACAAGGCACAGTATGCAGGTTTAATTATAGCTGGAGAAAAGAACGTTACAGACAATTTTAACAAATTTGGGTAGTAGAGGTGGAATGAGGAAGGAAGAAGGTATTGTAGGAGTAATGGATTCACCCAAATTCAAACTGAAAAATAAGGTCTGTAAACTGGTAAATCAACAAATAGAGAAATATAAAGTGTAATGTTAAAGTTATAATTGTAACCATCAGAAAAAAAAATTGAAAATGTTAATTGTGAGTGATTCCTCTGGGAAATAGATATATCTTTCCGTAGTGTGTGATTTTTTTTTCATGCATTGTATTACACGCCCCCCCCCCCCACACACACACATTTATGTATACAAGTAATATCTGAATAGGATTAAATGGAGCCAAGGGAAGAATAAAGATTGCCAGGAAACTGTAGCTTCTGTGACCAATCTGCAGCTTTGGCAGCCTCCACATGCAGATGTGACTTTGTATTGCATTCCTGTTGGTGGGTGCGTAATTGCACGCACAATGTTTAAATAATATTGGGGGGGGGGGTTATCTTTGGCATCGTAGGTATAGGACGTGGTCATGTTATCCCACAGCTGCGATACTCCACGTACCAATGTACCTGCCATGCCTGTCCCTCCCTTACTTAAACTCTGCTGCCCAGAATCTTATATTGAAGGATGAACAAAACACTAAACTGGTATTTGCCTCGGGAAATCCGATGCATGGATTTCAGTCAGTAACCTGCTCTGTGGTCCATAGTGTTGACCCTGGTACCTTGAGTTGAAGGATGTCAGTTGAACTCCTTATCTCAGCAATTTGAAGACAACAGTGTCATAGAGTTGCTGTGCAAAGGTCTGGAAACTGTGCCCTTGGAAGCCTTGCTGCCATGCAAGTCCACAGCTTCCTCCAGCTCCCAGTTCCCGAGGCTCCGTCTTCATACACCTCCTATTCTTCATTCCAAGGAACTCCATCACCACTTTTAGACTTCACATTCCCTTCTAATAACTACTCCTTTTACATGAGCAAATTGAGAAAGTCTCTTCCTTGCAGCCAGAATCACTCAAATTGAAAGAAAATCCTGACAACTACATTCAGTTTGCATTCAGAAGGGAAGGGAGACCTGCTGATAGCTGCCTCCTGAATAGTGGAACCAGCTGGATACATTTTAGTGCAAACCCAGCCTGTACGACAAGACCTGGGTGCATGAAACTGAGATTGCTTTTTTTCAAGAAGAGGCAATTTTTAAACTTGCTTATTTTCCCTCTCTGTGTCCATGTGTTCTCATTGTTAAACACCCACTTATGAGTGAGAACATGCAGTGTTTTGTTTTCTGTTCTTGTGTCAGTTTGCTAAGAATTATGGTTTCCAGATTCATCCATGTCCCCACAAAGGACATGAACTCATCCTTTTTTATGGCTGCATAGTATTCCATGGTGTATATGTGCCACATTTTCTCTTGCTTTCTGCATTTCTGGTAAATAAAAAATTGCTTATTTTTTCTTCTTGTTTAAAGATTATTGTGCTATTTGTCTGACAGTTTTAAGATATTTCTGAAACTTCCAACAAAAAACAACCTTTAATTCTCTTTAATGACAATTTCATTTTTCAGTTCTAGAGACAACAAAACTTAATCTGTTTCTAGACCTTCAAAATAGGGAACAACAAATGATTGGAAGATGTCAGGCTGACTGCCTTCCCTTTTTTAAAGCTCTCCTAGAGAGCCCTTCCTAGTAGGCTTGAGAAAGAGAGAAGCAGTTGGGCACAGTGGCTCTTGCCTGTAACCAGCACTTTGGGAGGAGAGGTGGACAGATCACTTGGGGTCGGGAGTTCAAGACCAGCCTGGTGAAACCCCATCTCTACTAAAATTATAAAAATTAGCTGGGTATGATGGTATTCTCTTGTAATCTCGGGAGGCAGAGGCATAAAATCACTTGAACTTGGGAGGCAGAGGCTGCAGTGAGCAGAGATCGCACCATTGCACTCCAATCTGGACGACAGAGTGGGACTTCGTTTCAGAGACAGAGAAAGAGAGAGAGAGAGAGAGAAAGAGAGAAAGAGAAAGAGAAACAATCCCTGACCACAAGCAAGCAAGTGGTCTGGCATCATCAGCCAGGCATTGGTATCCTCCTCTTGAACATACAAGTTTTACAAAACATGTAAGGCCACTCTGCTATCATGGTGGATAAAATAGGACAGCTCCAAAATTACTTCTGACGATGAGTATAGTGCAAACCACAAACATCACCAAACATTCCTTTCCATATTAGATTTATCAACATACCCAACATAAAATTAACCCCACTTCTTAAGAGCATTCAATCTAGAGTAAAGCCCCACTTTTATAAGCCCCCAAATCACCTAAGTCAAGCCCAATCATGTCTAATAAGTTATCTGTAATGCTTTTTAACTTTTCCAACATCTTCCTACTGAGGTGCCCCGCAGTTCCCCATGGAGTACACCCTCTCCCTAAAAAAGTAATGAACTCAACTTGTTCAGTTCCAGATGTTTCTAGTGATGCTCATTCGGGGTTTTTGGACAGGAATGTCATGTTCCTCCAATCCAATCCTGTTACTACTTGCTCAAACCATTGAAGAGCAGCTCCCCTCAAGTAAACTTCTTGGTCCTCCCAATAATCACTGATGTCTACCAGGCATTTATCACTCACCCAGCACTTCACATGGATGAACTCATCTGATCCCCGCAATGACCCTGTGAGTAGATAGGTTTAGTGTCAAATTTACAGAAGGAAAAAAGGCACAATACTACTAAGTGATTTAGTGAGCAGTTTGTCAGCCAGTGGTGTGGGGCTCTCATCCCGACAGCACACTGCTTCCTTGCACGCTGTTCCTCTGCCACTATGCTCTTCCGCTTCATTGAATGGTGTGTGGCCACTGTGTCATCAGCCAACACTGAAGGACACTAGAAACTAAACAGCACCAGGAAATCATTGCTGGGTTTCCTGTAAGATGCGGGAGAATGCTGACTCACAGGAGGAAACAAAAATTCTCTCAGATTTCAGTATCGCAAATAACTTCTAAGCTTCTTCTGAGAAGTTAGATATTTCTCAGCTAATGGAGACATTAATCATATAATTCCCAATTTTTCAACTTGATTTTAAGGAAAGTATGAGACGATTTTAACTTGACTAAACCTAATCAGGAAAGATATTCCCTTTGCACATTTCTTTCATTGTTACTATGTGGTCAAGGGAGCATTCTTTCTTGGTATTATAGTAATATGACTATTAATGCTATATCTTCCTTTATAACAAAGAGGGAGTTTGAGGCACATAACTTTGGAAGGCACGAATCAATATCTACAGATATTTCAAGAACTTAATTCATTTTATTTTAGCTACTTTTGTAATTTACTTCCAACTATAGGGAACTCTACAGGCTTTCCATTTACAAATGATACAAAGTTTATTTTTAAAAATAAATTTCTTTGAGTAAAAATTTGAGTACATTTAAAGAGAAATGCTAACTATATAGTAGTACAGGCGGTGGGACACCAAACAAGAAAACAAAAATCATGAATGTGTTTTGGGAACCCTGACTTCGTTTCTTGTGTTGGATGCTGGAAGGAGGCGAGTTTAATTCGTAGTCATTGATCTCAAGAGCGCAGGTCCTTGAAATTGAGACTGGATGCATGTTACCGTCTAATCGCATTAGAAGACAACTTTATCATCCGTCTCCTTCTCCACTTCCCCTCTGCCGTCTTATCTTGTTACCTTTATATTTTTTCAGGAAAAAACCCTCCGGGATGGGCTGCGGTGGGGGCTGGCACAATAAGGAATCTTCAAGGAGTGAAAGTGACCAGGGCTACCAACTGGTCCAGAGATGTGCGCTAAGCTCGCAGAAAGCCCAGAGGGTCTGACTGCCTCTGATCCTGGGAAGTTTTAATTCTTCACACTGGTCAGTAACTGGGTTTCTAAAACTGCTTGGATTCTTTGGCTCCGTTGCGTCCCGGCTTCGTGTCACTGTGACAGCGTGAAACGTGTGAGTGAATGAAAGTACTTCGGTGGAAAGTAAGGAGGAGCTGCCAGAGATGTGCTCCTCCTCCTCCTTTCTGGCTGTGCGGCACCTTGACCTTGAGTCCACCTCCCTCCTCTTTCCACCCACTCGTGATGGGAAAGTCCTTGGGTACCTCCTGGAGGCCCAGGGGCGGGGTAGAGGACAGGGATGGAGACTGGCCCCGAGATTGGAAGGGGGGTGGGCAGCGCTGGAGAATAACGCCCAGGAGCGAGGGCAGCGCAGCCCCAGACTCCCTGGAAAGCCCAACAGTCTGGAAAAGCTGGGTGTGGATTCGCCCCTCTTTCAAGAGTTTTCAGGAAGTTTGGGGGAGGGGCGAGACGCGCTCACCAGTTCTACCGGCGTCGGGCGCTGAGGGTGAGAAGGGACACAGCAGCAGCAGGTCTCAGTGCTTGTCACCTTCCTGCCCACCGGGGGGCTTCGGGCGCGCCCGGCGGGGTCCTGGGGGCGCAGGCAAGGGGCCGCAGGCACAGTGCGCGGGCCAGCATGGAGGGACTGGTCTTCTTCAACGCTCTGGCCACCCGGCTGCTGTTCCTGCTGCACTCGCTGGTCGGGGTCTGGCGAGTGACCGAGGTGAAGAAGGAGCCTCGGTACTGGCTGCTCGCGCTGCTCAACCTCTTGCTCTTCCTGGAGACTGCGCTCACGCTCAAGTTCAAGCGCGGCAGAGGCTACAAATGGTGAGAGTGCCCCGGGAAAGCGAGGGCGCACGGGGCCCTAGGGTATTGTCCCCCACCGCACTCGCGGGCAGCCCTAGATCCCATCTTCCCGAAACCCGCCGATTCTACTCGAATTTGGACCCGGTTTGTCCTCGCTGGCAGCTTGGAAGGCGCGAGATGCTTGCACGTCTCTTGGGCACGCCAGGGCTACCTTAGGGTCCCAGTGCAACACTGGGAAGGCTCGATCCGTGAGCCCAGGCAAGAGTCACGCAGTCTGAGGTTTGGAAACTCGCAAGATGAATAAAGAGAGGAAGCGTTGGTATGTTTTACTGAATGGGTCATGGGGCAAGGGTGTGTGAGTGTGCGCGGGTTACTCTACGTGCGTGCACGTGCGGAAATGTCCTACTCTGGGCATCAGCGACCTTTGCAAGAGCTAAGCGCACGGGGTCACCCTCCTAAGACTAGAAGCCTCTCGCCGGGCGTCGGTGGTTTCAGCCGCTTCCCTTCCCTGCAGCCGCAGGGGTCGCGCGCTCTCTGGCACAGCGCCAGCTTCAGTTGTCTGAGTTTGGTGGGGCTTTGGAGCTTGGTTAATGGCCTGCCTATCTTGCCAGGAACGGGTTGTAACGCTGGTGAAGGGACCAGCAGGTAGTGGTTTAGTCTTAACCTCTGTGTGCAAGAACTACACGTCATGTGTGGTGCTTATTTCCTCCCCGAAAGGCTTGAATGGCAATAAAGTAATTGAGAAAAAGATTCTCTTGCCATTGACGAAGAGCCTCCCCCAACCCCAGAGGAACTTCTCTAAGTTAGGCCTCTTTGTATATTATTTTTTAAAATGGGATGTGTTTTCATATATATCAATACGTTTAAAATACCCCATGCTATGAGAAAGGAGAAAATGGCATTAGGCAATTCACAAATTACGTGCACAATGACATTATAGTCATTGTATCCAGAAAAATAAAACAGCCCCCCTGCAATTTTACATATTAAACTACAAAAGGCTTTGTATTTCTTGACAGTTCATGGAAGAAAACATGTTGCCTCTGAAGATGATGTAAATTTTGCTTACATTTTTTTACGCTGAAAAATTTCTAGAATTACCAGTGCTCAAATTATTCAAGAACAATCCTAATTTAATGCAACCAAGCTAGGAATGTGACTACCCCTGCCTCCACCCTCCCCACCCCAGTGAAGAGTTTATTAAGCATGAGACATTTGAGGTACTTTCCAGTGTGCCTTTTGGAAATCTCAAAGAAAAATGTTGTTAGCTTCTCAAATAAGCCTTGGGGTTAAAGAAACAAAAGGGGGAAAAAGTGTTCACTCCGCAGGTCACATAACATCGATTTAACTTTGAGTAGCTTTAATAAACCAGAGTGGAAATATCTTTGGTCATAGAAAGATGAAGTCTGAGGCTGAAAACTGTTCCATGGAAAGTCTTGCCACCAACCACCAGAGATTCTGGGAGACCTTCAACCTTGGAAGAGGGGCCTGCTCTCCCCCTCCAAGAGTAGACCAGAGGCCTTAACTCTAAGTCAAACACTCACATTGTGTATAAATACTGTAGCCAATCGAACTTTACCTTCATGGCGTCTACATCTTTGTTTACTGCTGATTCAGATTGACATCACTTTAAACCAGGAGAGGAATAATGGTTGGGACAAAAAATGAGTGATGGTCAAATGTCAGGTTCTACAGGGAACTGGGGATATGCTAGTGCTTAGAGTATGCACCTCAAAATTAGACAGATAATGGGGTAAAATCTGGGTTTTCCTACTTGCTGTCAGAACTTGAGCAGGCTACTTAGTATCTCAGCCTGAATTTCTTACCTGTGAATACATACCTCATAAGCTATTAGAGAATTATATGAACTAGTATGTGTTGATTGGTGATGAATAAAAAAGCAATGATCATTTCTAGATCCAAAGATTTTTCTTTATTTCCTTCTTATTAAAAATGTTCTTGTATCAACTAGACATTTTATATCTGCACAAGTCAGACTAATTTACTTGAGTGACTAGCCAATAAACCATTGGTTCCATGCAAAAAAGTAGAAAAAAAATTCTCACCTTTATTTCGGAAGAACAGACCCATTTTATATATTGGGCATTATAACACTAATTTAAGGAAATTCTTGCTAGCCTAGCTATACTCATATTTGAAAATAAGCAAAAAAAGAAGTTGATTGATTTGACTTAGTGTACAATTTCAGCAACAAATGAGTCTTTGTAACTGGTCTAAATAGGAATATGATTAATAATGGTTTATTCTACTGATGTTATCAAATACAACTGAGTATACAAATATGTTCATTCATATGGTGGACAGAGCCCACACACTGTTCTGTCATAAATGTGATAAAAAAAACTCAGAAGACAGGCTGCTAAAAAATGTAGGAAATTATTCTGGAAATAATATGGTAACCATGAAAAAGGGTTTAATTTGGGGAAGATGCCATTTCTAGGCAGAGTTTTCTGAGTAAAGCAAGATATAATTTTTGTTTTTGAGTTTTAAGAAAATATTTCCAACAGAAAATCTAGGCTGATGGAATCAAAGAGAGATGAAGAAAACATTATGGCAATATCTATTCCTCTATATAGAAAAATATTAATATGTATTAGTCTATATCTGTATAGATTTACATATTAAACTACAAAAGGTTTTGTTATTTCTTGACAGTTCATGGAATAAAACATGTTGCCTCTAATTAATACTAATATTAATATGTATTAGTCTATATGGATATAATGATAAGCCTTTGTTCCATTGGTCTTATAGTCTTATATTTTGGAATCTACCCTATAGGACCAATGGTACCCATATGTGAGGACATGAGCAAAAATATTAATATCCTTATTGTTCATGGAAAGTAAAGCTTAAAACATCCTGATTATCCATCAAAGGAAATGTTAACAATTGTGAAATATTCACACTGTAGGCTATTTTACTGATATTAAAAATAATGAGCTAGACCTTAACCCTAACCTCAAGGAATGTTCATAATATATTATCAGGACCCTAACGTTATAGAGTTGTGTATATTACGGTTCATTTTTTAAAAATGGACTTGTAAAAGAATTGCCCTTTCTATCAATTGAAAGCATTGTTTCTACAAGTTGAAGTGAGCAGCAAAGGAGGAATAAGAGGAAGGGAAGGGGAAAAGGGAAAAAAAAAAACCTTCCATATTGAAAATAAATAAATAGGAATATATTAGAATAGACTGAATGATTAACTAAACCTGAATGATGGACTAAAATATATACACATATAAGGTGAAAAACTTCTTTTCCTTGAAAATCAGATCCATGGACCTTTTTTGGACTACTTTGGGCTACTTTGAGTATTGTTCTTTTAATTTAAATTTACACTTGGACCTAAATGAGTCCAAGCCATAGAAATCGTGGAACAATAAACAGAGTTATAGAGGGAAATGTGAACTAAATATTTTGAAACATAGCAAACATATGACACTTATCCAGAGAATGTTTCTTTAGCTATCCTTTGGAAAGGAAACATGGAACTGGAATTGCTGAGCTCAGCCATCCAGGGACAAGCAGCGTTACATCAACACTACAAACTCGCCAGTTGGAGAGGTTTAATTTGTTGGAATCCTATAGAATAGAGAGGGTGAGCCAACAACACATCCCTGTTAAGCTAAAAAAAATGTGTGCTCATGGAGGTTGCTCTTTTTTCACCTAATATTTATCTGTTTCACCTGCATATTTAATTACATTTCTATAAGATGAAAATGAATATCCCTTGGCTTAAGCTTTTCTTGATTGTATTTTCTCTCGTCTGGGCAACAATCCAATGGATCTGTGAATTACCATTTAGGTAAAGTCAAATAAAAGGCAGCATTTCAGCTGTTTTCCAGCCAATAAAATATTCCTCAGGGATAGAAAAAATTACTAAGATTGTGACAAGTTTGAAGCCTGTTAAAGCAGGCATTATCTGAGAATAAGTAGAAAGCTAAGTTGGACTTACTGGCCAAAGTATACAATTTTAAGCACTGAGTTTTCTTCACCAGAAAAATCCAAGGAAAATACACTTTGTGAGTTAGTAAATAATAACTCACCTATTTGGTCACCTTGCTTTGTCTCTCTCATTTCCTTTTACTTTATTAGGCTCGATCAGATGAGTATTTTTGAATTGCTTAATAAGCAAGCATGATAGTATGCTGAATACTGTGAGACCAGACAAAAGAAAAAGACAACAAACACGCTTGACATTTTAAAAGATAGCATTTTGATGAAGTGCTCAAATGTGTTGGAATCAGAATCATTATGAATATTTAGCATTTCCTATGTTCCAGAACCTTCCAAGGGTTCCACGCAGATGATTCCATTGGATCCTGACAATAACTGTAGTTTATTTTCCGTTTCTCTGTTTTCTTCCATTTTTAGATGAGGAAACTGAGGCACAGAGCTATTAAGTCATCTCTTCCAGGACCAGTTAGTGGTCAGTTAAGAGAGAAGAGTGAAGACTTCAGGCTCTCAATCTTACACACTCTTAACACTCAGAGGAGAAAGGATGTGCTCCGGCATATGGGCTCGGGAACAGGGAACTTGATGGCATTTCAGCTGTCGCCAGAAGGACGGGTGAGAGCTGCATCTGGAGAGAGGTGTGCGAAGGCCACGTAGGGAGGGAACCTCCTGGGTGGGCAGGTAAATTAGGCAACCTTGAGCGGGTTTCTCTGGAGAAGGCACAGAATCTTTTCACTCTTCTTTCAACAACAGTGTACGGGACGTCTACTATATTGTGTCAGGCATTATTCAAGTACTGAGAATATGGAAGTGAATAAACAGGCAAAATTCTGCCCTTGAAAACCTCACATTTTAGTCAAGGGGCTCAGAAAATAAAGACATAAGTAATTAATAAAGAGACGAATGAATAGGTAACAAGAAACAAGTGAACAAATGAGTGATCAGAACTCTGAAGGCCCCAGGGGTTTGGGTGACAGGCCGAGGGGGTGTGCAGGAAGAAGGGGCCACTGGATGGTCAGAGAGGCCTGGCTGGAATGTGACATTTGAGCTGAGGCCTTATGGAAGAGAGAGAGCCAGCCAGGCATGGGGAGGATAAGAAAAAGGGACAATCTGCATGAGCCGTGAAACATTTCTGACATAACCCTCAAATGACTGATAAATACTGTTTTTCTACTCTTCCCTCTCTTAATTACAGTGTCCCTCGACTCCATGTTAAAAACTCTTCTGAATTTTCTTGACTTTATGATAGCTCATTTTAAACACTGTGTATTACAAATTGTCTGGATGGCTCACAGCTGAAAACAGAAAAGACAAGTTAGAAAACAGGATTCTATCCTAAATTGATCATAAATTCAAACCAATCTTGTAAAAAATTCAATGAAATCTGTTTAGATCATTCAATTGCATTTGAAAAGTTCAGCAGTGAAATTGAAGATGTAGGCCTGACAGATGCATACTGTAGGAAATTTGATCTTGATTTATAAGTTTTGAGCAATGCGAGAGAACTTTGTGTGATGTAATGCTGTAGTATGTGATAATATGTACTTTATTCCATCAAAAATGTTTATGAAAATACCAGAGAGAAGGTTTGGAAATAAGAACACTCTTCCTCCCCCACTCCCCACCCCAATCTTTTTGGACCCCAGAGGGATGAGATAGAGGGATTTGGAAGGAGACCCAGTGACTTCCATATGGCCAACTTGGGCACTGGAAATTCTCCCAGAAGATAAACCACTTCTCTCCCTCTTGACACTTGGTGTCCAAATTTCCTAAAACCTGTCTTTAGCTTTTTAGCGTATGTGAGGTTTTATACTCCAGGCATACCTCATTTTATTGTGCTTTGCAGATAGTGCAATTTTTAAGGTTTGTTGTAGCCCTGAGGGGAGCAAGACTTGACACTGTTTTTCCAATGTGTATGTTCATTCTGTGTCTCCGTGTCAGCATTTTTTTAATTTTATTTTTAGCAGTAAAACATTTTTAAATTAAGGTATGTACTTTTTGTTTGTTTTGAGACAGAGTCTCTCTCTGTCAGCAGGCAGGAGTGCAATGGCATGATCTTGGCTCACTGCAACCTCTGCCTCCTGGGTTCAAGTGATTTCCCTGCCTCAGCCTCCTGAGTAGCTGGGACTACAAGAGCGCATTACCATGCCTGGCTAATTTTTTGTATTTTAGTAGAGACGGGGTTTCACCATATTGGCCAGGATGGTCTCAATCTCCTGACCTCGTGATCCGCCTGCCTCAGCCTCCCAAAGTGCTGGGATTACAAGCGTGAGCCACCGTGCCTGGCTGGTATGTACATTTTGTTAAGGCATAAGACTGTTGCACATTTAATAGACTACAGTATACTGTAAACATAACTTTTATATGGACTGGGAAATCAAAAATTTTGTGTGATCCACTTTATTGAGATGTCTGAAACCAAGGTATGCTTGTGTTTATCTTCCTTGTGGGAACGTGTACTTCAGATCCTGAGTCTTGAACTCACTGCAAAAAGATGACTTAAATGTGCATCATTTTAGGTAGCACACACTGAATGTTATTAGCAAATGACTTTGTTTAAAGTAATCCAAGTCATGGTTTAGGAAGAAGAGTCTTCTCCATAAATTAGTACCATGCTTTACTCCCAAGAAGAAGGCACACTTGCTTCTTTTACTTCACAGAGGACTTCGGACCAGTGTAATAATTATGTCTGCATGTAGAATGGCATCTCCAAGAAATTGAGTCATTGAACAATGGTCATGCTTTCTTTATGAGTATGTTCAATTGAGACATTTAGAACTAAAAGTTAAAGTTACTGATATATATTTTTTTCACTTCTTGTACTTGACTGGAAGAAAAACAAAGTACAAATTAGCATGGGCAGCTCTTATAAGTCAGTGTAAATATAGCCCTATTTTTGAATTTCATGCATTTCTTCTCATGGCAGTGACATTATGCATACAGCATCAGGACAAATCTGAATAGCTTAATGTTTTTTCCAACAGTGGAAAATTCACATTTATATCAAGGTTTATTCTCCCCATGTGTATGTTCCCCACTACTCTGGAAGTTCCTATAAAGTCTTGGTACTAGGACAATTAGGCCTTCGGTATATAATATGTTTTGTTAAAAAGAAAGTTTCTTCTCTTTTAAAAAAAATTTAATGTAGGAACTTTATGAAATGTACTTTTTTGGAAAGTCATGTTGAAATCATAGGAATATAAGGATTGTTAGTATAAGATGCCAGGGTGAGCACCAATTTTGTTACTTTTCTCTGAATATAAACCTATTACCCATAGTTACTTAAGAAGATGGGTTATATTTTATCTTTGGTTTGTCTGAAGCTCGAAGAGATAGATAATATACAACTGACTTAATGTTATCCACTTATTAGAATAAAAATCAGCCATCCTTAAGCACATAAAGATCGGCACTGCTGTAGTCCTGGGTGAGGAGGTGGGGTTGCTCCTGTAGTGTTCTTTTGCTTTCTTATTTCCCAGATTGGGCTTCCTGCCTCATGCATGTTTTAATCTACCTGAAATAGCCTCCCATAAATTGGCTAGTGTCATTCTCAGGCAAGCTCTTAATACTAGTGATGACGATTATGAGGAAGGTATGATGATGATGATGATGATGATGATGATAATGGACGTGGCACCACTTATCAGTTATTGAGTACTGACAATGCTACAGCCTGCTTTCTTTCCCTTATCTCATATAATCCTTACAATGACCCTATAAATTAGTTACCCATTTTAATTACCGTTTTAGGGTGAGGACATTAATGCACAGCAACACTAAATCATTAATCCAAGGTCACAACTGATAATAATAGATCATAAATACAATTCCTAGCATCTGGTGAGCACTCACATTTATTGAGCCAGGCATTGGCATTGCACACATCAGCTCATTCAATCCTGACAACTGCCCTGGTATTGCCTTCGTGCCTCTGCTTGCAGATGGGGAAGCTACAGCTTAGAGGTCTGGAGAGAGTCTTCTTCCCAGGATTAAAAGCTTAGTAATCCTGTACTGAGTCCTCCCCTTACTCCATCAGCCTACTTGTTATTTTTTTGTATTTAGTGACTATATTACTACATAGTTTTTAGGGTCAAGGATTTTCTTTAGTAGAGAAAGGATCAAAGTTTTGGTGGTGGTGGTGTTTTTTTTCTTTCTTTCTTTCTTTCTTCCTTTCTTTCTTTCTCTTTCTTTCTTTCTTTCTTTCTTTCTTTCTTTCTTTCTTTCTTTCTTCTTTCTTTCTTCCTTCCTTTCTCTTTCTTTCTTTCTTTCTTTCTTTCTTTCTTTCTTTCTTTCTTTCTTTCTTTCTTTCTTTCTTTCCTTCTTTCAATTGTGTAGGTAAATCTCAAGTGACCAGCTCAAGGAGGACTGGCATGATTTTGCTTAGAACATAATGTAGCAAAGTCCACGCTACATATAAGAGTATCTGGCTCGAATACACTCTTGCATAAGCAAACATTCTTGTAAAACCAAAACAGGATGCAAAAGGAAGAAAAGGGGGAAAAATTCTAGACTATTTTAACTTTTGCCTTAAAGAACCAATCTCCTTTACAGAACAGAAATAAGTACTATTGTCTTTATTTAGAATGAAATAAACTAAAGCCTTACATAAATAATAATTATAATGCCTTTTAGTTTCTCAGCAAGTATTGAAGTTCTTTTAGTCAGCAGTAATATAAGTTCATTTGTTCATTAAATAAGCATTTATTGTACTAGAAGCCGTGGTGGTGGTTTTCTACAAAACATGTATAGTCATACAAAATATATATAGTCATACAAAATATATATAGTCATATGAGAACAGTATAAAATAACATTTAGAGAACCAAGTAATTTTTCACAAATTAAGCCCAAGAGTGTGGAAAGCATGCAAAATCAAGATACAATCAGTAAGGTAGGCTTGTTGACAAGGAACATTTCAGAGGTAAATGATTTCTGAGACACTAGTGGTTATGAGTGCAGAAAAGAGAGATGTGCTTTGCAAGTTGAAAGACTATCATGATGGCGATAGTTAGGATTTCAGTTGGAACAGTTCATTTAGGAGGATGCCATGATTTTATTTTCTTCTGAAATAGTCTATGAGAAAGATAGTGTGTAGATCCTCAAATGGATTCATATTTTGTTACTATAACTAGTTTAGTAATAGTGAAACATATTGTTGAAGTGTGACTGTGAACAACTTCAGTTGTAATAAAGCTTGTGCTTGCTTGGAAAATTTTAGATTGAATAAGGTATATGGGGTACAATTTTGCTATAAGTTTATATCATAATTTGAGAATATGACTTTATTTTTTAAAAATTGCAACAACAAACAATGACAGTTACAATTAAGAGTCACATTCATTAGTATCTCCTCTTTACAAAACCTAAATGTAGACAATCTTCAAGGACTTTGGAAATACAAAGAATGATTTCATTGCAATGATTTCATCTCAACCTGTTTGAAGTCCCTCGTCTCTTCTGTCATTATTTGTCTGCTCGTCCTTAAGATCACTGAATAAACAAATCTATCAACTGTTCGTGGCATCTTTCAAAACATTCTCATTTATATTCAATTTTTCATGTTGGGGTGGAATTGTCATTAGCTTTTGGCCATTTAGTTGTGACTCTCTTGCCAGGGGACAGGCACACGCAAAGGGCTTTGGGAAGGGAGGTGATGGTGAGGGACATGCTAGTTAAGAAGCTTAATGGGTGGTGGTGGGGGTCACACTGGTGACTTCCCAGGTGTTCAGAGCCTTTGTGTTCTGCAAAAGAATTGGGTTCACTTTGAGGAATTGCAAAAAGATAGAGGAATTACTGAGGCTGTTATATTGATCATATTCCTCTTTCACAGTAACAGAAAGCCCTTGCTGAGCAGCCTAGAATTGTACATGTTAAGGTCCATTAGAGAAGTGATTTTATACGTAAGGAGGATAGACAACCCTTGCACTGTTAGATAGGTTTAGGGAATTACAAAAGAATATCATAACCTAGTTTTTTGATTTCCATGAAAATAAACTCACTATTATAAAGTGCTCCAGAAATTTTACTGAGGCCATGACATGCAAAATCTTATTTAACATGAAATTTTGAAACTCAGCTCTAGTATTCTTACAACTTCACTCTGTTTTTATAGGGGAGAAAATACTGAGAAATGAAATACAAATAAAAGCTGTATTCAGTTGAAGTACACTTTGAATACTATTTTTGCTTCACTTAAATATTATTCATTTTCAGATATATGCATATGATTAGAAGACAGAGAAAACCTAAACAGGGTAGTGATATGATTGATTTTTCTTCTATAGGCTTATTTATATTGTTGTTTGTTTATAAAAATGAATGAATGTTATTTTTTTCAATAAGAAAACATCTATAATTGTCATCTTTAGAAAGAGGAAAATGGAATCCTAATTCTAGACTAATGGGTGAGTCGAAGTAAATAAAATCCATTGCAGGGCTAAATTGCTAAATGTCATGACAGGTCATTTTTTAAAAAACATTATAATTTGTTGAAATGACAACTTTGTATGGTAAATAATATTTTACTTTTGGATGAAATGAACTGACAAAAGCAATGAGTGAAGCTTTTAAAGCTTGGAGCAGTGTCTAACATTTAGCAAAACACACACACACACACACACACATATATTTCATAAACAAAACAAAACAAATTTTTAGATAAACAAATAAATATATAAAGAAAAAATCATTTGAGATGGTGCTCCTGCTTGTGTGTACTTAGGAGATAATTGGTAGGTAGGTTAAGAGCTATGGAATTAAAACAAAAAAGCACAACCTCATGAAAAAGAAAGAATTTTTTAGGAGGATTTTATTTAGAAAAAATAGCTGAGCAAAGTAATTTGGCATTAAAGAATTCTTGTTGGACAACTTTGTTATTCTGACAGGTAATCGGGATTGTAATAAATCTGAGTTTCTAAGGGAGATAGCTCACTGGTAATAGGGCATTGTCCATTTGTAAAAAATTTTCACTTGGACATATCTTAGTCATTGAATCATATACTTATCAGCTTTTTATCAGTCCAACATATTGTATGCCTATAAACAATTATCCAGAAACCTGATATAAATGATTTGTGAGTTGGCCAGAACTTTCCATGGTATTAGTCTTCATACAAGGTACTCCACATCTCCTTACTCCTAATGCCATCAAGACAAAGACTAAAATAAAACCTGGTTTATTAATTTTTAAACTTCACACTCTTCTTTGTTCTAAAAATGAATTGCACTGACAACGCATGATCAAGAATACTGCAAAACCTCGAAATAATAAGTAGTGGCTATGATGTCACACTAAAATATTAAATCTTTCATAGGAGCAGAACATATGAAATTAGTTTCCTTCTGTAAAACTTCTAATAAAAATCAATTTATGATGATATTTCATGAAGAATTTTTTAGTCAAACCAGCAACAGAGTGTCAAGAAAGCAGGAACTGTAAATCAACCAGAGGCTTATCGAATCGCTAAACGTTTTTGGTGAGCTCATCACATGCCAGATACTCCAGAAGGATCTGAGAGGATACAGTCAGCCCTCCATATATACGGTCTCTACATTTGCAGACTCAACCAACTGCCGATCAACAGTATTTGGGAAAAAAACACAACCAAATACAACAATGTGCCAATAAAACATAATATAAATAAAAAACAATACAGTATGACAATTATCTACATAACATTTACAACTATAGTAGGTATTATAAGTAACATAGAGATGATTTAAAGTATAGGGAGGATGTACATAGGTTATGTACAAATACGACACTATTTTATATAGAGAAGTTGGGCATTCATAGTGCTTGCTACCTGCAGGGTTTCTAGAACCAGTCCCTCTGGATATAAGGGATGACTGCAATTTGAGCAGACAGACACAGTTTTGGTGCTTGCATTATTTAGAATTGCTTGGAGTCAACACTTAAATGATATCAAATACACACACATATACATATGCACATATGTAATTATAAATTTTGAAAATCTGTGGCATAAAAGTGACCAGGGAGGGCTAATTTAGACTTGAGGAGCAAGGAAAGTTTTGTGAAGTTCCATATAACTGATATGAACTATGAGGAAATAATCAGGTTAAAAGTAGAAGAGGGGGAGATTTCCAAAGAGAGAAATACATGTTGAGGGTTTCAGTTAGGATAGCACTTTTTTTTTTTTCCTGAGGACTGGAAGAAGAACACTGATATATGAACACAGTTGGAGGAATGGCAAGCAACAGAGCACAAAACTCAGGAGCAGGGCCCTGAGTGGGCAGCATCTTGTAGGTCATGATGGGCAAATACTCCATGCAAACTTGTGGCAGTGTGATAATAATTACCTCAACATTGATTGTGAAGTAGGCATAATACTATTTGTATTCAATAGTACAAAGAAAGGGCCTTTGATTTCAAGAGTTTTATCTAGATTTAGCTTTTGTTGTTGTTGTTGTTGTTGTTTTTGTTTTTTTTCTGAGACAGAGTCTTGCTCAGTTGCCCAGGCTGGAGTGCAGTGACGTGATCTTAGCTCACTGCAACCTCCACCTCCCAGGTTCAAGCAGTTCTCCTGCCTTAACCTCCTGAGTTCCTGGAATTACAGGTGTGCGCCTCCACACTCAGCTAATTTTTGTATTTTTAGTAGAGACAGGGGTTTACCATATTGGCCAGGCTGGTCTCGAACTCCTGAGTTCAAATGATCTGTCCACCTTGGCCTCCCAAAGTGCTGGGATTACAGGCATGAGCCACTGTGTGTGACTTTATACAGGCTTAGTTTTGAGAATTATGGTTTAAAAATAGAAGTGATTATAAATTATATGAAGAAACAGTCTTCTAAACTAGTGTCCTCTAAGAGTCCTTCATAAGCATAGATACCAAATATGTAGCCATGAGTAAATTTTCAAAGCTGAGTCTAGGGAAAACAGCAAGTACATTTACTGAGCACCTAAGGTGTCAATCTCATGGCACACATCGTCTTATTTAATCCTCATAGCCACACTATGAGATAGATATTATTTTCCCCATTTTACAGATGAGTACATTAAGTTTCAGAGAAGGTTGTGAATTTCTAAAGATGAGTGCGTGGAAGAGGCAGGATTCAAATTTGGGTCTTCTAAGTTTCTGAAATTTATACTGGTTCATACCAACATGTAATAATTCAAGGGTCACAGCTGAAAGAGCTTACTTGATACCAGACCTCTTGAAATAAAAGATTCTTGTAGATATCAGTAGTCTCTATTCACTTTATTTGCTCAGTCCTTCCTTCCTTCCTTCATAAATTTAGGCATTCAAGTATTTAAGCATTTGCTTAATAAGCATTAACTGAAGACTTAGTAAGACACTGTGATGCCACTGGAGAGAAGAGAAAATGAACCAGTAGGAAGAAGAAAGAGATAAAAAGATACGTAAGACCCAGGATCTTTCTTCTAGGAACTTATATTAGGAAAGCAAAGTCTTATGTACACATAACTATAACCCAGTACAGCATATATTGGGTCACGCGAGAAATACAGGTTAAGATGAATTCCTACTGTGCCTGTAAAACACAAGCAGAATATTGGTGGACAGACGTGTAAGAGAAGGACATTCCAAAATAAGCTTTCGTAATTATGGGAGGTATTTGCTGTAAAACCATTGCAGAACCTCTCTCCTCAGATTAGCTGGACTAAAAGAGCAGAGAGCACTTTGTTCTTACCAGAGACACATGGCTAGTTAAACAAGACTGAGAATTGAGTTGAATATAATTAATTTTTGGGCCCTTGATATGATTCCTTTTTCTTATCCCCTTTCTTCACTAGGTCAAATAATCTAATGAAGAGGATTGAAGGGAGAGGAATTTTCCAAAACAGTTTGTTTGTTTTATTTAAAATTCACAGTAGGTTGTAACTACTGCATGACTCAGCTTGATAGGATGTGGTGAGGGAATAGGAAGGGAAAGAGGAGATAAGACCAGATAAGGAAGACTTAGGATATCAGATTCTGGAGTTTAGATTTCTACTGTAGGCAACATAAAACATCTTGAATCTTGAAATTTGTTTATATAACCAGTTTCCTATTTAGAGGAAATATGTTGAAATAGGATAGTACTTTTTTCCAATTATAGAAATAAATCTTACGTATAGAAGATGTTAAGGGTATTGTTTGTTATATTTTTAACCTCTTTCAAGAGCTGTTACATGTTCAGGCTATGGTTTTCCCTAGATTATTGTTACACTGTTGTTGTAGGGGTTGGTGATTAATCTCAAAATAAATCCCAAGAGACTCAACAAAATTGAAATTCAGCCAACATTTGATGTGTCCAAACAAAAATTTTCATATTACAACTGTCCTTATGACTAGAATTTACTTTCTTTCCCAATTTCACAAGGGAAATGTTATCTCCTGATGTTTCCTTTGATATGTGAAGTCAAAAAGTTAATTGTTCTTTTTTTTTTTAAGAGCATGCTGAACATGGGCTTTTGATATCTCTCTACAGCTTTACCATCCTCCAGATTTTAATAATATCATGACCCATAACCTTTTGTTTCAAAATTGTTTTTTGCAGGAAACCAAAGATGGGAGACTATCTATATTAAATATTGATTTTTTTTAAAAAAACCTCTCTTTCTCTTGCTCTTTTTCTCTTTCTACAAACTGGAAAAAAAAAGACATTAGTGAAAGCGTTAATAGCCTTTAAAAAAATTCATTCTAAATTTTCTCTTTTCATTTCACCTTTCTCTCCTGAATTATAATAACATAGTTTGGGTAACATTTCATCTCAAATAATTCTATTTGTTGAGCAATTAACATGTCTATTTTCTAGGTCATTTCAAACTTGCTGTGTATTAAAAGCATTTAAATAAAATTATATTGACAAAATTTTGACTTTGAGATGTTCTGTAATGCAAGAGTCCTCTAAAATAAAGTTCCATTTGTTTTTTGTTTGTTTGTTTGTTTTTTCTTGAGACTGAGTCTCACTCTGTTGCCCAGGCTGAAATGCAGTAGCTGATCTCAGCTCACTGCAACCTCTGCTTCCTGATTTCAAGCAATTCTCCTGCCTCAGCCACCCAAATAGGTGGGATTACAGTCCATACCACCATGCGTTGTTAATTTTTTGTATTTTTAGTAGAGACAGGGTTTCACGATGTTGCTCAGGCTGGTCTCAAACTTCTGACCTCAAGTGATCCACCCACCTCAACTCCCCAAAGTGCTGGGATTACAGGTCTGAGCCACTGTGACCAGCCCAATTTGAAGAAATACATTTGGAAAGTATATTATTTTTCTTATTTCAAAATTTTAAGCACCTGTTTACGTTGTACCTTGTCCCATAATAATACTAGGATTAACTACCTATCATTGAATGCCAGCCACTGCCAGGCACTGCTTTACAGGAAGTAAAATAAAAAACCCTGGGAGATAAATGTGTCTGCGGAATTGTGTCCTTTTCCAGATTTCTAGATTGAAGTCCCAACCCCAAATGTGACAATATTTGGATATTAATTTGGTCATTAAGGTTAAATGAGGTTATAAAGGTAGAGTCCTAATCCAATAAAACTGGAGGCTTTATAAGAAGAGGAAGAGACAGATATCTAAGAACACATGGGGAAGATACTGTCAGGAGACCTCACCAGAATCCTACTCTTTTGGTACCTTAATCTCAGGCTTCCAGCCTCCAGAGCTAGGAGAAAATTAATGTCTATAGTTTAATGCTGGGTCCGTCCCACAGACCCTGGCCGAGCGACGTATGAAAAGAGTACTCAGGCACAGGTATGCAGTGTAAGAGCAGCAAGGGGGTCTACCCGGCTCTGGTGGCCAGAGAGGCAGCAGCTTGGAAAAGCTGGAGCTGCTTGCTTTTATGCAGTACGTAATGCCGAAAGCCTGGAGCAAACACAGTCTGCGGGTAATTAACATTAATGTTCCCCCTGTCAGTGGGAAGTCAGGTGTGAGGATGATCAAAGGCCAGTTCCTGGGCAACATAAGTCAATAAGCCTGTTTAAGATAAATTCCCCTGCACGCTCTTGTACCTACTCCTCAGGGTAAGAGAACAGCTGCCTTCAGCTATTCCCAGAAGCTTTGCAGAACCTTCTGACCTTTCAGAAACCCTGCTCCTTTCCCCATAGTTTCCCCCACCACTCTGACCCATCTCCTACAGTTTAAGCCACATAGTCTACGGTATTTTGTACGGCAGCCTGAGTCGGCTGGTACAGAGACAGTCCCCATTTTGCGGATTAGGAAACAAACTGAGAGGTCAAAGGCAAAACTGGCATTTGAACTTGAGTGTGTTGGATGACAAAAGTCGACTCTTCAGATTCCTCTCTGAATTTTGAATCAGAAAATCGTGAATACAGATAACCTAAAAAAAAAAAAAAAAAGAAAAGAAAAAAAACCAAAGGCTTACACTGTTGGTTGGTTGTGTTTTTATTTTACAGGTTAGCAAACCACACACAAAGCCAATGGATTACTCTCATTCCTAGTCCTCATCATCTGATTTTTGTGTTCTAGCACCATGTTATTGTTTGAGCTCTCAGAGTTCAGGGTTAATGTTGAAAAATGTAGCCAAATCTTGAAATTGTAATGTCTAACAAATCCAAGATTTACTACTGCTGTATTTGCTTTTTGTAAAACATATTAAATACAAAATATCCAGTGTTGTGCCTGAAACTAATTGGCAGTGCCCCATTAAACCATATCGAAATTACTGTCTATTAATTGGATTACAAATTCAGTGAGAATGACAGCTGCTAGTGCCTTTTACAGTTACTTTGTTTCTTTATAATCCATATGGCAGAAATCACATAATGCTTTTTTCTTCATTGAAATAAATACTTGAGATAAAAAAGATTTGACTCAGTGTAGTCAGAGTATGTGCATTTTTCTTTCTTCCTCTTAAATTTTTGTTTTTAAAAAGTTAGCTTAAAATAGCTTAACTATTTTTTCTTCTCTCTTTTCACAGGTTTTCGCCAGCCATATTTTTGTATCTGATTAGCATCGTTCCATCATTATGGCTTCTTGAACTGCACCATGAGACCCAGGTACTTCTTTTTGGAAAGTAGGAATTGAAATATTCAGCAATAAGCTTCTTTCACAGTATGATCCAATTTATTTTCAGGAGTGCACTTTTCTAAGTAATTGCAGTTATCAAGAA